AGGATACATGCCTAGGTTGTGGGCCTGATCCCCAGTGGGGGTCATGCAGGAGGCAGCCAATCAATGTTCTCTGTCATCAATGTTTCTATCTCTCTCTCTCTCTCTCACTTTCTCTGTCTCTAAAAATCAATGAAGAAAAAAAAAATTTTTTTTTTAAAGAATGGCAAAAATCCTACTTAAAAAAAAAATTGTTGGTGACTCTCTGTGTGTGTGTGTGTGTGTGTGTGTGTGTGTGTGTGTGTAAGGGGGTATTGGCCAGAGCATAACTAAGCCTGGAAACCATGCTCTGAGGAGCAATTGAAAGAATCTGGAATATGTTTTCTAAAGTGTCTTTATATCCAAAGTTCTGCATGTGAAAGGCTAGAACTGATTGTTCCAAATCTTCTGCAATTAACATCTTCCCACATAAATATTTTTCTGTACTTCAGATTATTTTCTTAGAATAGACATTTGTAAATTAATTTATTGAGTATAAACATGCTTAAGCCCATAAACTATATTGCCAAATTACTCTGTGCTAAGGTAGAACCGGTTTTTATTTCCACCACTAGTATATAAGTATCTCTTGTACTACATCTTTGCTTAGTATTTATTATTTTCTTTTTAAATGCTTGCTAAATTAATAGGTGCAAAAACACTGAACTCATTGTGAGATATTTACTTTTTAGAATTTGCCATTTTCTTTTTTGCCTTTCCATAGCTTCACTTTTTGTTGTTGTTTTTTTTTCAATACAAATTTATGAGTTTTTAAGAGGCCACATTCAAATTTTCCTTAGAGAAGGATCAATGAATCACACCTTCTGGGATGCCAGAGCACAATTTGCATGGCTTTCATTACAAGGTTCCTTGCCACACCTCTGGCTCCCTCCTGAGTCCTGCCAGGTGATCTATGGGTGGGGTTTACAGCCTCTAACATAACACCACGTACTTGTGGCAGAGCCAATAAGAAGCCTATAAATGCCCATTCCCATTCTCACAGACCTGCTTTTTCTGAGAGGGTAATTCTTTCTGGGTAGTCTCAAATGCTTGGGTTTTGAATTGAGATGGTAGATCCTAAGGTTCTAATTGTATTGATACCCTAAGGAAATACCAGAATTCACTTTGTCAATTTACAAGAACCTAGAACAGGTGGGGTTACATTGCTGTTTTTCAGTCCTGAGGTCACCCTGACTGTTTCTGAAGCTCCTTAATTAACTAGTTGGTGTGGCTTGAAGGCACAGCACCGCAGCCTGGTTGCCAGGCAATTACAACACTGAATTATTGGCCTTAGGATGCCCATGAAGCCTGCTTCTCTTTTTCTTCCAAACAGTCAGAAACTTTTTATTCTGACCTGTATGTATTTGCAAATAGATCTATGGATTACGACTCATGCCTAGATGCTAAAAGAATACATTTTCAAGGCATTTTTAAACCTGAGGATGAAAATAAGAAGTATGTCTTCTGCTCGATATCCCTTTGCTTGAAATATCCATTTAGAAATAGAACCAAGCTTTAAATTCCTATCAGGCGAATGCACAATATTTTAGTTTTTTATAGAGAGTAGCCTCTGATAGGCATTATACAGTTAAGATCTGATTCTTTAGTACTGAGATTATCTATAAAAAGTGGCCTCACTCAGAACTGACCCAGTAACAAATCTGGAACTTCAGACCCCATTCCTGGTTCCCAGTACTTTCCTTTATTGTGCAAAGTGCTCTCTTCTCTTCCTGACTTCAGGAACAGCAAACAGGTTATGAGGACTTGAGCTGACTAGATGGGGCACATGTCCCTGCTCCTGACTGTTTTCTCCTGCATTTGGCTTGGGGCATGAAGCTGCTTCCAAAGTAAACCTAACCGCGGTTCCCAGCCTGTCTGTGTGGAGGTGCTGGGAAAGGACGGGTACCCAACTGCTCCTCCCAGGGCTGACGGGGCTGGAGGAGCGTGCCTGAGGGGATGTTTACAGGGATATTTAGGGCTCAGAATAAAACAAATAAACATATATACTGGAGGCACAACATGTATATGTCCTCAAATGAAAGCCATGGATGAACAAACAAGGAGGAAGCAGAAAAGTATTTTGTGTGTGGACCTTTTCTGGGTATCACCAGTCTTGAAAATCCAGCTGTACGACCATATGAGCCACCTACTTCAGAACTGGAGCTGAGAATAAGGTAGAGAGAAAGCAAGATTTTAAATCCTGTTCTCTTGATGTGATGTGAATCAAAACTCCTGCCCCAATCTGGTTGGAGGAAAGCAGGCCAATAGAAGAGCCACTTTAAATTCTAGACACATTATTTAATTGAGAGATGTTAGTAATTTTTTTGCTGTTATCTCTACTTCTTACATATATAGTTTTATTGGGAGAATATTATAAATACTAAAAGCACACTTGTTTTAGATATTTATATTTTCATAATTACTGATGTTCATGTATATTTACAAGAGTTGTTGTAGTTGATTTTGTTCTAAAAAGAACAGTTTTTACACTTTTGGAGGCATTTTCACACTTTTAGCAATTCTGGTAGGGAATATCATTCTTCACTTATCAATATCAAATTCTTCCCTAATCATTCAGAGGGGACATTCTTCCTAATCTCCACCCTGTTTCCCCTCTTGAGTTATTTGCATCACTGGGCCAAGGGTTTCCCGCTGCGGTCTATCTTCTCATGGTAGTAGCTCCAAGGCTTTTTGCTTATTCTTCTTCCTTTGTTCATCTTAGTCATTAAAGTCATAGGCCTACTTCTCCTCTGTAATCCAAAAACTACCACAAAATGACCCCAGTTGACTTTTAGTGCTTTAATACTCACTATTCCTCTAAATATTTTCTGTGGTCAAGTGTGACTTTCTACTCTTTGACCATATCCCTGAATTTCCAGGTGTTTGGACGTATTTTCATATTGGATTCTCACATGTGCTCAAATCGGTCTGTCAGCTGAGTCTCCACTGCACATCCACCTGGTTCTTCCTGCTCTGGCCCAGCCTCCACCTGCCCATGCCTGTTGACTGGCCAGTTGCTTGGAAAAGTCTCAGTGTAGCCTCCACCATAATGAGAACACCATGCCTTTGCCAAGAGCGACCTTTTGGAAGAGTACCAACATTTCCATTCTTCAGGCACTTAAATGGTGCTGGAGTTTTGCAGCATAGCAGTCATGGGTGGGGATCAGATTGCTTCCTTAAGACTTCTACCACCCTTTTATGTTTGGACTCCCCAATCTCATAAAATCACAAAATCTCGAACATTTACACCAGCTTCTTCCTTTAAACTTCTCTATAAGTTTCCTGGGGCTGCTGTAACAAAATGCCAAACCTGGTGGCTTAAAACAACAGAAATTCACTCTCTCACATCTCTGAAGACTAAACGCTCAACATCAAAGTGTTTGCAGGGCTACACCCTCTCCAAGGGCCCTAGGGAACAATCCATTCCTTGTGTCTTCCAAGTACTGGCAGCCCCAAATGTCCCTTGGTTTGTGGCCACATCACATTGTATCCTCCTCTTCTATACATTTTCTCTTATAAGGACACTTGTCATTAGGTTTAGAGCCCACCTAAATAATCCAGGATGATCTTAACCCAAGATCCTTAACTTTATTTCTGTCTTAAAGGGGTTCACAAAGACACCCTTTTCAAGTAAGGTCACATTCATGAGTTCTAGCGATTTGAACATAGACATGTCTTTTTGGCAGCCACCGTTTCCCTCGCTAGAGCCTCTCCTTTTATTGGAGGCTCAAAACCATTGAGTGGTATCTGGAGGGGAAGAGAGGCCACTCTACCCAGTGTCATAACAACCAGCTCTGTTTTCTCTTTTCTCCAGGAAAAGCCCTTAACAAACCAAAACGTCATCTTTCCTTTTCCAAATATTAAAAATGTCCCTATGTATATGAACTAAGACAAGCACTTTCTGATCTGTATGAGGGAGGGTGGAGGAGATAGAGAGGCAGAATGAAAACAGAGCGGGAGGCAAAGCTAAACTTTTAATCAAAAAGAGAAAAAGACGTGTCAAATATATAGAACAAGTTTATAACAAGAAGAGAATAGAATGCAAAACTAATGTCAAGAGGGTTGAAACGATGGTGGGATGAGGCATGGATAGTCTGAACCATACAGGAATTTCTCCAAAAGTAGCAACTGTAACTGAAATGCTTAGCATTTATTGTGGAGATGGTATAACATTTTAAAAAGGTACATATTCATGGTCTGCATTACAGGTAAAAATTTCCTAACTAATTAGATAATGCATCATAGACAAGCCTAAAGAGACAAATTTTCCACGTAAGTGGTGTACAGGTATTTATATGCATATGTATGTGTAGGTAAATTACTAAAAACACATATGGAAATATCTTAAGAGAGCTTAAAATAATGTATAGTCCTACCCAGGTTGTATGTTTTATCATATTTCAATTAAATAAGCAATTTCAGAACATATCCTACCCATAATTTATAATCTTCCCAATAATATATGGCATCTAATAGCATGAATTTAGAGAAATACTTGATAAATCTTAATAAATTATTATAACATTTATTATCACTGCCCCAAATGATGTGGGTATAAATCTAAAAAAAAAACCACACAACTAATCACCATATAGGCACCCTAGTAATAAATCATTCACTGTCTGTACATTACATCATTGGCAGTTCATAACATTTTTAACTGCCTTCATTGTACCCTTGCCTCAGAAAATGCTTCTAGATTCTACCTTGATAATATAGCCCCTTGCTATTCAAGGTGTAGCCTGTTGACTATCAGCATAAGCAAGGCCTGGGAGGTTGTCCAATCTCCCACCCTAGACTTAGTGGAAACATGATTCATATGCATATCATTCTTTCTAGTATATTATTTATTATTGGCCACTTCTCTTACTGCCTTGAACTTAAGTTTGTCATTTCTTGATTTTATTTTTACTTCTACCCAATGAAATACGTGTCGTTTTCTCAAAACAGTAAAATTAAAATGGGGCGTTATAAAAGAGATGCTATTCAAATAATATTCTGTGTTTAATGTTCATTTTATTTAGATCCTCCAATCATTGAAGGAAACATGGAGGCGGCAAGAGCAGTGGATTTAATCCCGTGGATGGAATACGAGTTTCGTGTGGTAGCAACCAACACACTGGGTATAGGAGAGCCCAGTATACCATCAAACAAAATTAAAACAGATGGTGCTGGTATGTAGAAGAAACTTTGAAATTTAGAAGGTTTATCAATGCAATGCCACTTTTTTATACAGTTGAATGTATTTGGAAATAAATAATGCTCTGAGGTGAGTGATTCATCTAAACACTGTGCATTTAGTATTTGACACAGGTGTGTGCATTTTATGTCAAGACAGTCAAAAAAAAAAAAGGAAAACATGGATTTAAGAATATTTTTACATAATGTAGGGGAAGAGGTAAATTGAAACTACTTCATATTCCACTGGAGACCATTTAAATGACATTGATATTTAGAATATACATTTTAATGTAAGTTGTGAGTCTTAGCCAGGCAACTATTGATTAAGCATGATTTAGTGTGTCTAAATCATGTGTGTCTCTCAAACGCATTTGTAATTGAATGGTCATTTGAATGGACGGTGTGGGCAGGGAGGATGCGATGAGCAAGGAGTGGGAGAATGCGGTGAGGATTACTCAGGTCTGTACCACTTGAGGAGTCATAGCATCTCTGAGAATTAGCTATGCTGTGTTCTTTTAATATTAGGAGTCACTCTAAATATGCTCTCTTATCACCACTCAACCTTGGCTGTTTTTTCAATTTAAGTTTGCATTTTTTTGTGCTAAATACTAACTCCATTTAAATAGTCTTGGGTACAAGAAGTACTCCACTCTGTTTTCTTTTCCTCTGCGTTACTAGGCAAAAATGCTGTTCTGATTCTAATAACAGTTCTTTTTCCTTTTATTCCCAGTCTATGAAAAATAAAATATTTGTAGGCTGAGTTCTTATTTTTACTAAGCCTTGCCAACGTTTTATTTTCAGTGTTTTGTTTGGGGAGTAGATTTTAAATGGATGACAGGCTACCATTAAAATTCTTTAACATCTTAGTATCATATATCCACATTTCTGGCTACCTCATTCCTTGGCCTAACCTCTAAGTAGAATTAGTCTTTAGTTTTTAAAACCAAATTATTCACAGCACTTTTTATTAATAAATGATCTCTTAAAGTTTCGTGTAATTTACCAGATAAAGAAAATAATGATGATGTAATAAAGGAAGAAAACACTTGAACACTGACCTGCACTGAGTATTTTCACACATTTCTGTTAATCTTCATAATATGGTGAAGTAGGTATTACTAACCAATGTTGATTAATGAACAGTAGGCTCAGACACATTAAGTAGTTTACCTAACCTAATATTACTCTTTGTAAGATTTACAATTCAGTCCTGATCTGTCTGGCTCCTCTTCTCATTCACTGAGCTTGTCTCTTAAAAGTGGCTCTTTAAGCAGAACTCTTAAAAACGCATCGACTTATATGAGCCTTTATTAGCGCTCCAGTAGAAACTTAGATTTGATCCTTAACTGTGAAACTAAATATGACTTAAATACTATTTTTTGTTGTTGTTGTGAAGTAAACATAGTTGCTCCTTTTCTCTACCTCATAGAGATCTCTTTAGGATATGAAGCTCATAGAAGTTGATGTTTTAGAGAACAAAGAATCCACATAGCCAGGATCCTTGGTTTTGGTTTTTATTACTATTCGCTAGAGTTTCCTAAGTTTGTGATAGAGGCTTCTGTGCAATGGACTGAGCACAGTTGCCCTTTCTGGAAAAATAAAAATGAAAAGAAACTGAGGTATGATCTGACTAGAGGTTTTAACTGTATAATTTCATGCTGAGAGATAATGCACTTATTTTGAGTTAACAAGTATTCATTTCAAAGTGAATAAAAAAACTGGGAAAAAAAATCAAATGATTAAGTTGGTCTAAATAAACTTAGTTTCGTTAAAAAATTATACTTACCTCAAATATTGAGATTGATTATTTCTATGTGATCTCTTGACTAATACAGTATGAACTGCATCTTATATGAACACATTTTTGAAGTACAAAACTGTTCATTGAAAGACGAAAAACTGACATTTGAGACAACATGGATGAATCTTGAGAATATTATGCTAAGTGAAATAAATCAGACAGTAAAAGTCAAGAACCATAGATTTCATTCATATGTGGGATATAAAACTGAAAGCAAACAAGAAAAACAAACAAACAAACAGAAACTCGGACACAGACACAGTATAGTGGTTACAAGAGGGGAGAGGTAGAAAAGGTTAGTCAAGGGAGGCAAATGCATGTGACAAAAGAGGATTTGCCTTTGCGTGGTGGGCACACAATGCAATATACAGATAATGTATCATGGAATTGTACACTTGAAACATATAATTTTATTAACCAATGTCACCCCACTATACTGAATTAAAAAAAAAACAAAAAACTGTTCATGGGAAAGGAGGATACTTTCTCTGGCATTGATAATATCTGGAAACCTTCCCTTCTCCTCCTTAGGAATTCTATTACAAATAATACATTTGTTATATATCTTAGAAAATGATTGGTTTAGGCCCTGGCCGGTTTGGCTCAGCGGTTGGAGCGTCGGCCTGTGGTCCCGAGAGACCCGGGTTCGGTTCCCGCTAAGGGCACGTACCTCGGTTGCAGTTTGTCCCCGGCCCTGGTCGGTGGTGCGGGTGGCAGCCACTCGATGTGTTCCTTTCACATCGATGTTTCTCTCCATCTCTCTGTTCCTCTCTCTCCCTCCCACTCTACCTGAACAAAAAATGGAAAAATGTCCTCGGGTGAGGATAAAAAAAAAAAAAAAAGAAAATGATTGGTTTAGTATAACACAGGTTGATTATCTGGACAGAATTATAAAATTGGAGATTTTCTTTTATCTTAAAGTAGAAGTGATTAAAATTAAATATATTGTTAAGAACGACAGGAACAAAAATGTTTCTGAGACATAAATTAAATCTGATTCATTTGTGTCTCCATCTATGAAAATAATTAATATGTAATATCATATTTAGAAAATAAATATATTTTTGATGTGCTCACTGCCAGTAATAAGAATGTAACTGAAGACTTTTCAACCTCAATGACTTCTTATCCTTAGAAATGATGGAAAGAATTCGTTTCAGAGTAATATCAAACCTAAAAGTTTGGCAAGATTGTTGCTTTCAACCAACAACTTTTTGACATTACCTTGTTAAGCATCACCTCCTACATTATGTTTGCTCAAATGGCATTTTGTTAAAGAATTACTTCTCTAGTAGGCTTAGAAAATAACTTTCTTTAAAAGTTTCAGAACCAACCAGGCAAACAAACCTATGAAGTAATGAAACTGTCTTATTCACAATGCAAGATACAACCCTACAGTGATATAATGAGACGGTTCATTCCTTTCCATTGTGAACATTTAAATCCTGTAAACTATGGCACATTTATCAATTTTCCATAAAAAAATATTGTAGGACCTTGTATTGATCATCTTTTATGGCTACCATGGTTTATGCATTTGCTATGTTATCAGATACAGACCTAAGCTCTCACTTTCATTGCTTCACTTAATTCCCACAACAACTTTCTCAAATTGTTATTGTCATTCTTAACTTTACAGATGAGTAAGTGAGAATTATACCCAGCAAATGTGAGGCAGAGCTGGGATTCAAATCTAGGGCTTTCTACTTCTAAAAACCTTGCTCCTCACCCACTTTCTGGGAAGGCAGAGTACAGTCCTGGTGCTCCAGGGCGCCGATCCGGCTGCCGTCACTGACCGCTCTGACCGGGGAGCACTGCCCAGCCTCTCTGAATGAGAATCATTTCTCTTATAAGATTTTTCTTTATGGTTAAAGAACTTGCAAGGAAAGCAGTTAGTACTGGCTACTGCATAATATATGCTTAATAACATTTATTTTTTATAAATGCTTATTCTAAACTTTAATATGCTTATAAAAATATTGTCTACTCTGTAATTGATCACCTCATCATGCAATACATTTCCATTTTTTATAAGCACAATTAAATTACATGTAATTTCATGTAATTTTTAATCATCTTAAGGGAATAATTTTATATATTTAATATAATAAAATGTAACCGACTTTCTCTTTAATTAGTTTGCTTTTTTCCTGATTTCAAAAGATTGAATATGTATGAAATTGGACCCTCCATTTTCCAAACTTGCAAGAAAACAAAAATGCTGTCTGAAACAGGGGGGTGCTTGTCTCATCATGTACTGTTACCACTCTCCAGGAGATGCCAGCATATGTTACATGAATAAAGCGTGGTTCCCATTTGACGGAAAGGTTGCTCCTGCTTCATTATGCTGATTGAAGGACATGACATTATCTAATGCCGCACATGCCCTTATCTGTCCAGTTACTTAATGTTAAGATCACAGTGCACAGTTGGGTGGATTCTTTGGATTCAGATAAGTGCATTATGAAATGGGTGGTCCCAAATGAAGAATTAAAAAATGTGTTTGTAATTCATTATAACCCATTTAATTTTGACTGTAGGAAAGAGATAACCAAAGCTTCCTTCAAAGTAATGTGTCATTGTAAGACATATCCTCATAGCTAATAGATCTGCAGGTGCAGTTGGTGAGTTGATATCTAAAAAGGGTGCATTCAGATGTGATTGGACAGCTTTGGCATTTATTTACCAGCTCAAACTGAGAAGGATAAGAGCAAAATAACATAACACCAGAATCAACACTTTTATACTATATAGAGAACTTTAATTTCATGTTTAAAGAAGCTATTTCATTTAGTTTTATTTAAAATTTTTTAAGATATGTTTGATAAAGAAGAGGAATGGTGATAAGAATATATTTTGTAGTTAGAAAGGTATATATTAAAGTTAGTTACTGTCATTAATCATAAAATAGATTAAAAGAAGCAGAGTATTGATTTTTTTAAGCCACAAGGAGGCCCGAGTTAAAGTTGCAGCTTCTCTACAAGTAAGCAGTGTGACCTAGACCAGTTAAATCATTTGTTTTAGGATTCATTTGCTTCTCCACATACAGTTGGTCCTTGAACAATGAGAGGGGTTAAGACACTGATCTTTGCACAGCCGAAAATCTGCACATGAATGTTGACTCCTCCCAAATTTAACTAGTAATAGCCTATTGTTGACCAGAAGTCTTACAGATAACATGAACAGTTGATTATCACATATTTTTATCTAATATGTATTATGTACTGTACTGTTACAAAAAAAGTAAGCTAGCTAAAACAAAATGTTAAGAAAATTAAGAGAATACATTTACCATACTGTACTGTAGTTATCAATACCATAAGTTTATTGTCTGTTTACATGATTAAAAAACTGTACATATGAATGTACCTATGCAATTTAAATCCATGTTGTTCAATAGTGAACTGTACTTATTTCAAAGTGTTGATCTAAGTATCCAATCAGGTGTAGTTTGTAAAAATCATTTCTAAATTCTAAATGAATCTTATATTAAACTAGGCTTTATTCATTGAGCAAACTTTTATGAATTAGGGATATTTAAGATTAAATTTAAATTAGTTGTACATATTTAACTTCTACTAAATTAAAGAGCATCTTCAGAACTGGAATCAGATTTTATTCATATATCTATAGTGCTTAACACAGCACTGTTCATAATTGGTGCTCAAAATCATGTGTAGCAGAAAAGGAACAAGAAGGATAAGGTGATGATTCTGGCCATTGGAAGTTAATAGGAGATGAAAAGAGAAGCAGTGATCAAAGCAACAATGATATTTGGAAACTATGGTTTAGAAAAATTCATTATCAAATATAATTTGTTTTGTTTGAAAATATGGTTCACATATGCATTAGATGCTTTCGCTTTTAATACATTGAGAGAGATAAAATACTAAGTGTTCATTCTTTTCCTTAATTTAAACAATCCATAATTGGTTTGGGTTCTTTGTAATAATTTTATTATACATTATTATTATTTCACATACAGCATTCTTTTCTGTCCATGCCAACATTTCTCCAGATGACCTATTTTTAGATGATCATTTCATTGAGCAATTAATAAATTGACTCTGCTCCTTCCATTTGAATTTTGGCTTGAAGGGATTAAGAAGTACAAATTGTAGTTACAGAATAATCACAGGGGTGAATTACAGCATGGGATAGATAGTCAACAATACCATAAATAACTATGTATGGGGCCAGGTGGGTACTTGATCTATCTGGGGGACCACTCTGTAAAGTACATTGTCTGACCACTATGTTGTACATCTGAAACTAATACAGAATAATATTGAATGTAAAGTGTAATTTAAAAATAATAAATGAAATGTTTTTAAAAAGAAAGAAAATAAAATAAATGTGAAAGAAAATTTTTTAAAAAATGTTCTGTTTGAGAACAAAGACTAGATAAATAAACAAACCTACAATTTCAGCCTGATAAGTTCCTAAGACATTAATATTGTTACCTATCTTGGCCTACATATATTTATTTTACCTCCTATGGAAAGGAATTAATGTTAATATAGTAGATGCATTTGGTGTGTTAACAGTCTGCTCCACTATCAGACCAGGAGATCATAAGGGTTAAAAAGGATTATTCTCATTTGGATGTACAAATATGATATAGTTCATTTGATGTTATTAATACCTCTTCAGAAAGAATATGTATTTAAAGACAGAATGAAAGTAGATGTTGCACTTTAATCCCACTGGTTTTCTAGACTCTAGAGCATTGTTTATCTAACAATTTTGAATCCCTTAAAAAAGTAAAAGGTCACTTGAACACAAGCCCTGCCATATAACCACAGTCAGTCTGATAACCAAGAGGCTACTAAATGACTGACAGGCTGGTATGTACACTACATGGATACACTGGACAAAGGGAACAGGACCACAGGAGGCTTCAGCGCACTACTCAGAACACAGCAAAATTTGAGACGTATAAATTGTTTATCTGGATTTTTTCATGTACTGTTTTCACACTGCAAATGACCACGGATAACTGGAACTGAGGAAAGTGAATGGACAGTGGGGAACTATTGGACTTATATTCAAATTATTTAAACCTTCAAATCTAAAGGTAAAACTGGCAGCATTAGTTTCTTTTTATAGAAAAAACAAACAAACAAAACAGCCAGGGAATTGGCTTGATTTTCTTTTATAATATTTTTTAGGTCTATGACTGAAATATAGAAGTACTCTTATAAACAGTATTAGAGAATCACCATTAGATTGAAATTGTGGTAAAAGGACAAGTTAAAAAACATCACTATTTTTAACCTTTCACAGTAAAATTATGTCATTGATTCATGATTAATTCAGTAATTCTGTATTTTCCTAAATGCTAGTTTTAACTCTTTTTTAAAAAATGATTTATTGTTAAAAGAATGTCTAGTTTGTTCACTGCTAAGTGCCCTGAAGCCTGGAGTTAAGTCAGCTTCTTTGTGCTTTGGGTGATTTACTGCCCTGAAAGGCATCCGATCTGGCCAAGTCCTGTCCCTGCAGGGCTGAGGCGAACGCAGAGCACAGGCCCCTCTTCCCAGACCTGGCCCCGCGAGGCTGTGTGTCCAGGCACCTGTGAACCTGTCCCTGGCCGCTGAGACTGCCACTGGGCCTTCGAAGGAGGAAACTGTCAATTATTAATACGAGGAAGATATAAAAACACTTGTATTTTGTGCTTTTACTTGTCTTACTTTAAGTATCATGAGCTCAAAGGGTCATTTTTACAGAGAAAAGTAAATCTTGAATTAGTTATTTGAAGCATGTTAAAAAGAGCTTAAAATAAACACTTTAAAATACAAAAGAAATACTCAACCTAATGCAAATATACTCCATTGTTTAACTCTGTTCTAAATAAAAAGGTTAAGATTAGTTATAATGAACAGGATTACAGTGAAATGACTCAAAAAATAATACTTGCCCTGGTAAAGGAAATATTTGATTCAACAAATTATAGTATAATAAATTATTCTAGAGAGTTATGTTTGAGAGCATTTACCTGTGACCACTATACTTGTATGTATAGTTAAACACAATATTTGATTTATTCATTGATTACAACACAGCATGTTCTTTGTTTCTCTGTAGTATGGAGAGTTTTAACCTCAGAATATGAATTACGGGGCTCAAAGTGTTTTCAGGGGTTATTTTAATATCTCAGCCTTCCATCTGAGTTTTATCTAAAGTGCTACAAGTAAATTATCTTTTAACATCTCTGTGAATTCAAATTTATTTCTACCCCTCATATGCTGACAGTCAAATATTAAAATAAAATCTCTCCAACAACAGACAAATTTATCAGAAAAGAAAATCATGATATAGTTTTATAAGGATAAAGAAAAACATGCATATGTTTGTTTGTGTGCAATTAATGTATATACTTCAGCATGGAGTTTACATGGCTAACATTAGGAGAAGTTTTGAAGTTTTGAATAGCAATTATTTGTTGAATAGCAATTCAGTAAATGGACGGCTTCCTTTGAGCACTCTGAGGAAAGCTTGACTATTTTCTATGTGGAAGGAATTTGGAGGCTCAAACGAAGACTGATGTTTTATCTTTTCTTTAAAATATAAACAAATCTGGAAATGATAGATTGGAGCCATACCATTTGTGTGGGAAAATGTATGTCCTCTGTAAAAACACAGACATCGTCCATGTATGGGGTAGCTGGTCTCCAAGTGCCTCGGGTACAGGGACAAACTATGCTTACCATCTATACAACTCCTATCGGATGCAAGTCCAGTAAAATACAGTGTGCGGTAAGATACAGTATCCAAATCAAATAAGATGCAGCACCTACCCTGAAGGACTTTCAAGGGGAAAGAATAAATTGGAGGAATAATAAAGAAGAGACCATTGGACTTGGCACTTAGAAGCAATTTTGTAATTTTGGGGGAGAGTGATTTCAAGATTATGAAGTGGAAAACCAGGTTATGGATTGTTAAGAAGTGATTATGGAGTGAAATAAGAAAAAAACACACAGACATATATTTGTTCTTTGCAGTCAGTGACAGGAAAGGGGGTGAAGGCTTGGAGACTAAGAAGAAAACAGTATTAACAAGGTGACTTTTAAGGATGAAGAGACTGCAGAGTAGAGTCTCGACAGTAGGGAGACTGAAAACGGAAGGTTTGCTGGAAGAGGATGGGATTGAGGGACAGCTGGAGCCACTGACCGGCAGGTTTCCGGAAGAGCGTCAGGAATCGGAAGTGGGGGCACGAGGAACTGTGTTAGATTTCTAATAGTTCTAGGTATTTGGGGGGCACGTTATCTTATGGTGATGCCTGTGCACCATTTCTTAACAGTGATGTGTACATGGAGGCAAGAACTAGCACAACAGTTAGTTGTGAAATGACCCCAGGGTTCAAAAGTAAGAGCTCTGAAACATTTAACAAAGTACATCTAATCTTTCAAAACCATATTAAATGAAAGGACACAGAAAAATAAAAATAAAGACGGGGGTGGCAAATTTGCTTTGCTCTCCTTTGCTGAAGGAAGCTGGCGTATTTCTATGGCACCGAATCGGATTTAATCTTGGCAGTAAAACACATTATTATAGCTTCAGTGAGGCATTGTTGTTATAATTGAGTGGATCTCATGGGTAGTTTGTCTTTCACAGTGAAAGAAAAAATTTACAGTTTCTGTAGTGAATAAGAACTCCAACGTCTGAAAGAAATTATGTGGCCTCTGGGTCTTGTTGTTTGCTTATTAGTTTGCTTGTTTGTTTCAGCTCCGAATGTGGCTCCTTCTGACGTGGGAGGTGGAGGAGGGAGCAACAGAGAGCTGACCATCACATGGGCGGTGAGTCTGAGCAGGTTGTATTTATCACAGGCTGCTTACCTATACTTTCTCTCCAACCCATTTCGTTTCTTGAAGTAAATAAAAGACAATGCCCAAAGCACAAGCAGAAATACGTTACTATTTTTTTTTTCCTAGATGAATGTCAGATTTTACCTGGCTTAGTGTGCAAAAATAGATCCTTGAGGCTGAGGGATCTGTTGGTCTAAAAGATTAAACAAATTTTTCAACTATCTGATTCCAGAGATTTTCTCTTTGAACTCATTGTGACCTGGTAACCCGAATGTAATGTATGACATTTTTACTGGACATTCAAAACTCAAAAGATTCGGTTAAAAGGCTTTTATATCAGCGCCTATTTTTTTAGTTGGAGCTTCCCACTTGAGATTTATTTTGATCACCAAGCATAATTAATTATGATAGGTCAGTCTCAGAAGTCATCCAAGTGTGTTTTATTGAGGTTCTAAAACATTTTATTAAATTTTTATGACCCAAAGAGAAGTTCCACATCAGAGACTATAATGTCTGGAAAACAATGCATCTTAGCTGTAATTTTGAAATGACAGAGATGCTAGGGATGGGGAAGGCTGTGGTAGTACCAACTCGTCTGACTTAGACATCGGACATTTGGCTACCTAACATGTCTTATGTAGCTCCATGTGTTCATTAAGTGTTTTCAGCATTTAATCCCTGCAGATAGTCAAAGAATACATCTTACACGCTAAAGAATTTCAAAGACTGCATGAGAAATGGCAGGCATTATTCTTTACATAAGTCAAGTTGGTTTGTATAAAAGGAGATATTTAGCAAAGATTGACTTTACTCTTGCTGCGTAGTCACATTTTATACTTGTCATTTAAATCACATTTTAAGTAATATTTAGAAAAAAAGCCTTTTGTTTGTTCAAATCTCAAATTACTTATATGTAAATTTTAGTATCAATGTAACATACAGAAGTGAAGAAAATAGGAAAATTAGGACATCTTACTCTTTTTTATAAGGCTTGATTTTCTTAAACTCTGGAATATCAGCTTCAGGATAAGGTGTGGAGTTTGTTAAAAAAAAAAAAAAAAAAAGGGTCAGAATTAGAAATCCTATTCTAAAAATTTGAAATAAAGTCTCTGGGAATAGGGCCTGAGAATCATTCATTTTTGAAAGCTCCATAGCCAATCTGATATACTTTTAATTGCAAAAGCTCAGTAGAGAACAAGCAATAAGAAAAATATTAAATTATTGTGGAAATGTTAGACTGTACCTTCTAATAATCTAAAATCACATTTTGTACATCCTTGAGAGAGACAATAAAGTAGACAATAAGTAAAATATATAGTGTATGTCATGATAGAGTTAAAGAGAAAAAAATAAAGCAGAGAGGTGGGTATAGAGTATTATAGAAAGAGTGTGGAAATGGCCGATCCTGTGGCCAAGGAGAACAAGTGATTTTTCTCAAGAAATTGAGGGAGGAGGCCTTCTGATGTATGCAAGAGCATCCTAGGTAAAAGAAAGAAGGAACTAAAAATACAAAGGCCTAGAGTGGGACCCCCCTGCCCCAGGGATATTCCAAGAATAGCAAGCTTGGCAAGTGAAGTTATCACAATTTGCCCTGGAATTTTCAGGCAGTACTAACTTATAAATAAATAAGTGTGTGTGTGTTTTTTTTTTTTTTTTTTTTTACAAAGAACATGCTTCTATGTGTATCATTATTATTATTATTGGCATAGGATTTTTCCTTTTCTTAAATGTATTGCTTAAAGCTATTTAATATTTTAATTTCTATTTAGCCTTTGTCAAGAGAATACCACTACGGCAACAATTTCGGTTACATAGTGGCATTTAAGCCATTTGATGGGGATGAATGGAAAAAGGTTACAGTTACCAATCCAGATATTGGTCGATATGTCCATAAAGATGAGACCATGCGACCTTTCACTGCATTCCAAGTCAAAGTCAAGGCCTTTAACAACAAAGGAGATGGACCTTACAGCCTCATAGCAGTCATCAATTCAGCACAAGACGGTGGGTAAAAACAAGACCTTACTAACAGGCAGGGAGGGAAAACCGAGTTGTCTGGTAGGCATTTCATGTGCTGCCTTTTGGATCTTACTTATTGAGATCTTTTTATAATTTTATGCATTTAGTGAATGAGTATTATTTTGAGCCATATTGAAATGTCAGTCTCTCTACCTCTATGACAAGAAAGTTGCCAAAATCTTTTTCATTTTTTATATCATGTCCATGGTAGTTAGGATATCTCCACAAAAATAGTTGGCTTAGACCCCTGTTCCTGGTCCATTGATTATAATTTTACAGTCAGAAATTCTCCATACTTGACTGGAACTTCAGTATGTCTGTGCATTCATGACATTTCCTATTTAGAAATTCCTTAACATTTTTTTTTTTATTTTTGGTAAAATTTCCCCCCTTTTAACCTATTTGTATAATTGTAGCATTATGCATAATTCTATGATAAAGAAGGCAGAAAGCCAGTTGCATTTGTTTTCTTAGAAAGGGAACATTTTTGAGGGCTCTTTAGGAAAAAATGATACAAATACTGCTTCTAGTTGTTTTCTAGAAACTCGAACTGAACAGACCATTCCACTAGAGGACTTTATATAACCATGCTAAATAATATATAGTTTTAGATTAAACGAAATTACATTGATTTCTGTGTTTTCCTATATATGCTACAATGTTATTATTGTTAATTTTCTTATTAAATGTGGAAAAAAGGAGAAACATCTGTAACAAAAATAAATGAAAAAAAACAAAGAAAAAAAAAACACCTCCTTCTTCTATCTCTGTCCTCATGTGTACTATGTAAATAATTAATGGCTAGAAAAGCAAAGGGAGATTTCATTGCCTTCTGACCTAACACATTTGTCCTTGGCCAAGTTCCTTTTTGCACATGTGTGAGACACACAAATGGAAGAGTTGGAAAACTTTAAACTATGTTAGATATGCTTCTGATCTCTTAGAGGAAAACACATTATCTATTAGTTTACTCAGTCAGCAATAGTTTTACTCCAAAATTAGCATCAGCTATCCCTAGAATTCACATATGCTTTTTCGTTGTAGAGTTATTGGCTTTCATGTTTGTTAAAAGATTAATGTGTATTCAAATCATCTCATGATTTTTTTTTTTTTTTTATCCTCACCCAAGGACATTTTTTTTATTTTTTGTTCAGATAGAGTGTGGGAGGGAGAGAGAGAGAGAGAGAGAGAGAGAGAGAGAGAGAGAGAGAGAGAGAGAGAGAGAGAGAAACATCAACGTGAAAGGGACACGTCGAGTGGTTGCCACCTACACAACCCAACCAGGGCCGGGACAAACTGCAACCGAGGTAAGTGCCCTTAGCGGGAACCAAACCCGGGTCTCTCAGGACTGCAGGCTGACCTTCTAACCGCTGAGCCAAACCGGCCAGGGCCATCTCATGATTTTTACTTCTAATACAAACATGTAAAGCAATCTTATATGTGTATGTATGTGTCTGTATAAACACACATACTTTTTAAGTTAGCTAACTAAACACATAAAAAGAACAAAAAGTAGAAATCATTTAAGTTTGTTATCAATTCAGGGCTTTCTAGTTCTGAGTAATAACTTACATTCTCTATGCTTGTTCTGATTCAGCAGAAATATACTGGTTCAGTGTTAATAGTTTAAAAAACATGAGTACATCTCACAGAGAAAATAAAAGTAAAAAGCATTTTACAAGTTCTTTTCTCACCCAACATCAATTTTTTTATTGCTTTATTTGATGTTAAAGTAATCAGGCAAAAACCCATTCTTGTCATCTCTTTAGTCATGGCTACCTATATTAAAATATATTTCTCTCCTAAATGTTTTATGAGCCTCATAAAACCTGCATATGCCAAAACTTGTATGTGTTCATCTTTTTTGAACTACTAAGAAATCAATCATAGTGCTACATGTTTACCTTGATTTGGAAAGTTAACAGTGTTCTTATGCAGAACATTTTTAACGTAAAAGAGGATTGTGGCTTGCTAATAAAAGACCATAAAAATTGATCACTCCTGCTTAAATTTTCCCTTCGTTTTTTTTGTGTAAGTTTCAGTAGGGATGTCAATTACTTTTTTTCTTTACTGAACAGAGGCCGTTTTGATACATATTTGACTTCATGCCCAGATAAAAGATTAGACTTATAAAAGTTTCCCCGAGCCCAAGAAGCAGTGGATGTCACAACATGTTTCAAATGATCTTAAAAATAAAAAGCCTTAGCTTAAACATAAAAGAGTAAGAGGGCAGTATTGCTATGTTTCTTTTGGGCATATAAATAGAAAGTATGAGAAAATTGATAATTAATTTTAATAAATAATCTTCTATTGGAAACACCAAATTTTCTATCTTTGACAATGTAGCATTAATAAGCTACATATAACAACTTTTGATTTGTATTCACAGGCTTTTTAGGGAGATTATTTGGAAGAAAATAAAAAAATAGTGTTGTTTTTGCTCACAGATATAAGAGAAATCCATGAAGCTCTCCATATTTTATAAAAGTGTGTGTGTGTGTGCATGTGTATATGTATGTGTGTATGTCTATGTTAACATTTATGTTTATGAATGTGTGCATGTACACGTTTATGTGTATGTCTATATTAACATTTATGCATAAGAATATGTGTGTGCATCTATCACCAATGACCATAAAATAAACATTAAAAAAATAGAGAAAGGTAATACAATTATTGGACTTATTTTATTTTGGGAATATTGAAACTATTTAAAATGTGAAGATATAGTTTTAATTCACCCATATAGCAAATGGAGTTATTTGAATTTTATATTATAGACATCTTATGTGTGAATATAATGCGTTCATCCCATTTCAGCTCCGAGTGAAGCCCCAACAGGAGTAGGCGTGAAAGTCTTATCGTCTTCCGAGATATCTGTTCATTGGGAACACGTTGTAGAAAAAATAGTGGAAAGCTATCAGGTGAGTTCAATTTTTATCAAACTAACTATATTTATTGAGAAGTAGATCAGGATGTTTCATCTTTCAATATTTTGTGCCCCGTTGATGTATGTGGCAACTAACACTACATTTTTTTGTGTTTAATATGTTGGGCATTTTAAGCTAATTATTAGGAGAAAAGCAGAGGTTCCTCACTGGCTGATCTGGGAGAGGAGTAGAGTCCTACTGTTGACAAACAATGGGCCAAAATAAAAACCAAGATAATAGCACCCGTGGTTCTTTTGAGACAAACCTTCTCATGAAAGTGAATTTTAAGTTTTTGGGAAAGCATTTTGGTAATTTATAAAAGCATCCTTAAATTCTTCATCCTATTTGGCTCAGTAGTTCCATTTTCAAAGGAAAAAATTATAAAACCAATTATGTGTCTCATAATGTTACCCGTGAAGGCAGAAAATAAGTAACAATCAAAATGTCCCAAAGAAAACCTCCCTAGACCTGATTTTAAAGTACCAATAGGTATCAGCCAGATAGAAAGGGAACAACTTGTCTTAGTTAAAGGGAATAAGACCTGGAAAACTGAAACTAGAAGGATAATTGAGGTCTTGGATACAGTGCTAAAAATTAGACTTGATTGTATAGGAAAAGTGAAGTCATCTCATACTTTTAAGCAGAAAGAGTTAAAATTAAGAAAACATGACATCACCTTTGTATATGAGCAAATGGATGCTAAAGAAATTCATGACCTGCCTCAGCACTAATGAGAAGTGTCAGAGCTGTGTCTAAAACTCAGATTATCTTTTTCAAAGTTCAAGGCTTCATGCCATACCACAGACTTTTTGTTTGCTGTGCTCAGTGAGTGCCCTCCTGGAGCCGCGAGCAGTAAGCTGCCCCTCCTCCCCAGCTTGTCCTCTTCATTCTGTCTCCCCTTCTTCATGTGTCCTGGTATATTCGTTTCATGAGGGCAGGGTTTTGTCTGTTTTTCTCTCAGTGCTGGGCATATGGTAGGCACTAAATAGATGTGATAATAGAGATACTGAAGTATGACCAAATAAAGTTTTATAACCTGGCTTTCTCAAAGCCATGTTTCTGAAAGGAAACCACAAAACCAACCCAAGGTTTTTGTTATAAATACACAAACTGATGGGAAGTTTCTTTTTTTCTTTTACTTCTTGGTGCTATAGGTTATGATTTGGGTGGATTTCAATGCGTCATTAGTTAATCCTCACAAGGGTTCAGCTGAAGTTTAGAGAGCAGAATGCTAAGAGCAGACTGAGAAGACCCAATATTCATAAATTATTAAACTGACAACTACATTCACAGCTATTAGAAAAGAAACATGAAAGAGAGAAATTCACCACATTACAAACCCTTGTAATAAACAAGTCTGAGGTATCTTGAGAGAAGACATCAGTATTTAGAGCTTGAAAGCCATTTTGAACTATAGGGTTTTTCTTCTTCCTTTATATTATTATTCATTCCTAAGTAACAAAGATAGTATTTAGCACATAAATTTACTCAAATGATAATTTTAAGGAAAATGTGGGTAGCATTGAAGAGTTTAGTTTAAGATTCCTGACATTTTGCAAGTCCACATTAAATAGATTATGTATGTACTTTATTTCTAAGAAGACATAGGTTGATATCTCATTTGTCACTGAGAAATTCAGTAGAAAATTTATTTGAAATTTCTGAATAGTTGTTTTCTCACCTGTAAAGCTGATAGAGTAATCATCGACCAATAAGATTGTTGTGTAAACGAAATGAAATAAAAGTGGTTAATGCTTTTCCTTGTTCGGTCTTTGGACATTTGAAGACAAAGATGATGATAATGATGATAAAGATGATGGTGATGATGATATTAATGATGATAAGAATGATAATATTTGTTGAGCCCTAACTATGCCAAACACTTCATTTAGCTCATTATGTTGAATCCACACAATCCGAGGGTACCCCTGTTTTAAAGATGAAAACTTGAGGCTTAGAACCATTTGAGTAATAATTGTCATAACCAGATCTGAACCTATGTCTTGCCTCTCTAGAGAATGATTAAAATCCTGGAAGTAAATCAACAAATTATTGTTTCCATTCATTTATTTTTTATTTTTTTTCCATTACTGATTTTAGAGAGAAAGAAAGTGAGAGGGACAGAGAGATAGAAACATCGATAAGAGAGAACATAGATTGGCCGCCTCCTGAATGCCCCCCACTGGGGATTGGGCCCACAACCTGGGCATGCGTCCTGACTGGGAACCAGTGACCTCTTGGTGCATGGGTCGATGCTCAGTCATTGAGTCACACCAACCGGACTCCATTCATTTTTTTTTCTAAAAAACATTTCAGTTTTTAACAATAGAACTTTGAATACCAAAGAGACAAGCATGAAAGCTTAAAAAAGGACATTTGTCACATTCTACTCTAGGAAAATGACTCTCTATGGTGGGAAGAGCTTGACTGACTACTGTAGTTGCAGTTTCTATTTTAAAATGTGATGGGAGAAACCAATGGTTTAACAAGATAGATGACTGAGAAAACTAAGAACCTTACCTTGTACTATAGGTTTGAGTTATAAAAATAACAGTGAAAAATAGCATATTAAAAAAATAATAATAAAATAAAAAGTTAGAGAAACACCTAATCCACTGTGATTGACCCAATCTCAAAGTTGCTTTCCTGACATTTCAAGTGAAAATATTAAACAATGGGACTTAAAAATAAGCTTCTCTTTCCTTTTGGTTTTAAAGTGCATCTCGGTAGAATTTTAAGTTTTATTCATTTTTTCCCCTCTTGCCTAGTTAAAGAGCTCCTTACTTCTAATTTTAATACTCAATTTTCCTGCATGTAGCGGAACTGCAAGAATGCAAGAAGTCCCTATCAAGGATGTTAAAACTGGGCTCTAGCCCAGGAATTTACAAAAGACTTAGTTTGCTCACCAAGCAGGTGAAACATCCATTTTGTTGGTCACCCAACAAAATATACTATCAGAAATAATAACTACAGACATGCTTCGCAGCTGAATCAAAAAGCAGTGCATATGACAGTCTCCTCAAATGTTTCCAAAGGTAAATTATTATGGTGAGCATAAATTAAATGTTAGGAAGCGATTTATTTTCTTATTTTGGAGAGGAATCTTATCTTTGTCTGGAGCTCCCCAGAGCAGAGCCTGACTCACGGGTGTGGGGAAAGGTCGAGTTTTGTTGTTGTAGTTGTTTGTTTGTTTAGTTTCAATATGATCCCAGGGTGCAGATATGAGGAGAAAGCGGAGGGAACGGGAAAGGGAAAAGGTCCTGATAGAAGGAAGCTTTATCATGTTGGCAACTACTGTGGGCACCAGTACTCCATCCCTGGGGACCTTTGAGGAGCTTTAGCAATTCAGAATTGCCCTGCCTGGGACGAAAGGAGAAGATTCCATGCACGCCTGTTCCTCATCGGTTAAGAATAGACCCATGGGCATCACCTCTCCTCCCACTTCCACAGCCTGCTGGGCAAGCTTCCCAGTGAAGCATCAGGCACGACCCAGGGAGGGAGGGAGGCAGCAGCACCAGCAGGGCGGAAAGGGTGGCAGGTGGGACCTGAGGGAAGCTGGCGGAAGCTGCACGTTGTCTGGTTCCTGCACCAGTGGCTGGAACAAAATAAAACTCCGAACAGGTGTAAAAATACAAATTTTCAGTGATTTATATTATGTATTGCTATTCCTTGCTCCCAGAATGTACTAATATTTGAACTAGTTTGGGATCTGGATAATATGAAGTTATTATGTAATATCTTTTTAGAGACTGAGCTTTTTTGTGTTAGTCTCATTTTTTTTCACTTACCTGTATTTAGTTTCTTTTCCCCCTAAAAACTATATTAAATCATTAACAAAAGAATATTTCACTTGTCATAGGATAATTTTTTTTTTTTTTAGAAAATTCAGAATTGAAAGGAGAGAACTTGGAAATCTGATACAAAAGTTTAGTGAAGTAAATAATAAAGAGAAGAAAGCCTGATTTTAAAAATGCTAAGCATCTTCAAACACTTCCATAGTTGTCCTTTTTTTTTTTTTTTTCTTTTTCTTTTTCTTTTTCTTTTTTTACTATTATTCTAAGTTTCTTGGGAGAAAATTAGTCGAAAGAGGTGTTTTTCTTCCAAAATTCTTAAATTCCCTTGGGTAGGGATATAACTACAATGTTTTTACAAAAGTGGCATTATTGTGGCCCATAGTTTATGGAAAGTATAATCATTCTTTATTAAAAATATGGGTTAGAACTTTTTCTGAGACTTTTTCTTTTGGCTTCCAAATATTTTTATAAGGAGCAAACTTGTTATTTTTTAAAAATAAAATCTATGAAGACCAAAAACAAAAACAAAAACATGCCTGCTTGGTTCTCCTCTGCATTCTGAACATCTAAGACTTAATTGGTACAAAGTGGGTACCGGATACCTACCTGCTCGGTGAATGAATGCCATACATCAAGTGCAGTTCTACGTGCACAGTGTTTGAAGATAAGTAATGGACACCTGTCCTCCAGGGCTTCATAATCTACGAGCAGTAGATAGTGACAAGTAATGAGGCAATTACATAATTGTTAAATAAGCACTATGGATAAATTAATACTAGACAGAGGATGCTGTGAGGATCTTGGAAACGTGTAGGAAAAGAGTTAAAGTTATAAAATGTCACAGTATTAGATAGAAATAAATAAACTCTATGTTGCTTTAGCATATAAAATAACTTTATGATATACTATCTATAAAGTGGGGCCTATTTTATTTATTCATTTTTTTAGTAGCGATCATTTATTTCCACTGATTCATCCAGGTCCCCTTGTGGTCTCCCTAGTGATTAATCAATCAAAAGCACTATGTTCATTTTGCTCCATGACGACAGGTGACACCCTTCACTCCAAGTAGTTTTCTCAAAAATTAACGTTAGTGTTTCACCCAATGGGAAAGTCAATGAGAGCCGATAGCCCCCGTTTATCTTCTGTTTGGAGATTAACTCTTAAGAGCATGGCTAGTGGCTATTTCAGACAAAATGGATAACACCATATTTTACATATATCCTCTACTATTATTTTAGGATCCTCTGAAAACGTTGTAAGTAATTTGAAAGCATATGTTTTAAGTTAAGGAGAGACTGATTGTTCAGTCAAATCATGTTGTATAGCATACTTTCACTTGTAGAGGTTAAATATACTATGACAAAATGTCATACGACTCTCATATTCTAAAATAAGGAGACCAGGGACTCTTTTGCTCCCTATTTCCATGGCTGAGCACAGCTAAGTTACTGCTGTAATTTGTCGTGCATTTTCATGGAGGCCCTGTGATAGGTCCCTGACAATCTCAGATGAATAAAGTCATTGGTCATTTAAGATATGGGTACAAAGAGTAAATTCATGAAAGCTGTGTTCTTTCCTTTTGCATCGCCAAAATGCCTCGTGGGATTTGAGGTGGCGGAGGCAGTAAAATGTTATCACTCATTTTAGTGCATAGCATTTTTTTAGAAATGGCTTTTGTTATATTAATCTAGTTTAAATGCTTCCCTTAAACTGGATAGAAAAATTGTTATCATGAAATTAAGATTTCAAAAGTTTGTATACACTCCGTTAAAAAGCATGCGTGTAAGAATGCATGAACCCCACGGATTTCAGTTTTGTTTGCTATAAAACAGAGTCAATACTACCATTTTAGGTTTGTTGAGAACATGATGTATGTGGATGATTTTATGCAGTGCCTGGCATTTTATTAGAGATGTAAATGTCCATTTTATTTATCTTAGTCAAGCATTGGAAGAGGCCTTGTATATCACCTAGTTCAAATGCCCACTAAAAAGTGCGCCACCCTCGTCCTTCTCAGATGAATGTGGTCACTGCCCGCACACTTCCAGGACCCTCACGCCTTCTCCAGGAGGGTCCGTCCTTAGAAAGCCTTTTCTCTGCCCACTGAGTTCTGCCTCTGAAGCCACTTGGTGCAGTCCCGGTTCTTCGGCCCTGAGGCCATCCTTCTGGTCAGACGCCAGAAATGCCAAAGACATTCTAGCAGAGCCATAAGGAAACACTGTTATCAGAAAAACGAGCACTCGTAAACGAAATAGAAATATTACAAAGGAAACCAATCTGCAATTAGTAACTAGCCTTTGTTCTGACATGCGCTCATTCTACATATAAACCTCACTCGATCCCAAGTGAATGTGAGCCGTCCAATTCCATCTTGTAACGGTTTCATATGTTTTGTTTTATGTAAATCAAAAGTTCAGGATTCGCCCTGGCCGGTTTGGCTCAGCGGTTAGAGCGTCGGCCTGCGGTCCTGAGAGACCCGGGTTCGGTTCCCACTAAGGGCATGTACCTCGGTTGCAGTTTGTCCCCGGCCCTGGTCGGTCGTGCGGGTGGCAGCCACTCGATGTGTCCCTTCACATCGATGTTTCTCTCCTCTCTCTCTGTTCCTCTCTCTCCCTCCCACTCTACCTGAACAAAAAAAAAAAAATGGGAAAATGTCCTCGGGTGAGGATAAAAAAAAAAAAAAAAGTTCAGGATTCTACAAATGTTAGATACTATTTTTAAGTCACTTTGGTTAATTCTGAAATTTTGTTTTATAGACAGGGCATTTAAAAATCTGTAAAATGCTAGTATATTTATAAATAATTTTTTTCCTTTTACTTATAACGTAGATATAATTATAGATTTTTGACCAAGGAAACACCTTATTTGAACAATGAAAATTGTAATTCATAGCTTTTACTTAAACTTTAAGAGACAAGGAAGGTTTTTATTGATACTTTGGTTGACAAAAGTAATCATTTCTAGACATAACATGGATAGAATTTTTTAAAATTATTTTAAAGGCAAATAATTTCTACAACTATTCAAGTTATTAAGTGTAACATTTCTTCCCCATCTGGCCTCTATATAGATTCAAAGTAAATAATGTATGGACATGCTTCTGAAATGAGGTAGCAGAGCTATTTCACCGGCATGCTCTGGGCCATATGGTGACTATTTTTGTCAAGCAAGGTTGGATTCCTGTCAAATTACTTTATCAATGGCTCATAACATATTTGAAATCATGTACACAGAAATAAAAGCAGGAAGTCGATGATAAAAACTATTGTGGCAAGTACTTCCAGAGACCAGTTTTCTATTTTGAAGGTAAATCTTATGCAGGACATTTGTTGTTTCGGTGTTTGTCAGTGTGAGACTATTTCAAGCAATCATGTAAGCCTTTGATGTGTCTTTGACAACCTGAATCACATCTGCATTGTAAGATCGGAAGGAGTGTAGGTAGCATTAAGAAATGTTTGAGACTATAATATTCAGCCGACGTTAGTGGTGGCAGAATCAGCTGAAAAGAACTTTCACAACATAAGGGGCTGACTCATGACATAATATCATTCAACCTCAATGTGTGTAGATCCGGTACTGGTCCGCTCACGACAAAGAAGTGGCTGCACACAGAGTTCAAGTCAACAGCCAAGAGTACTCTGCCCGGCTAGAGAACCTTCTGCCAGACACCCAGTACTCCGTGGACGTCAGGGCCTGCAACAGTGCCGGGTGTGGGCCCCCCAGTGACATCATTGAGACCGGCACCAAGAAAGCACGTGAGTTGCAACATTTGCATTTTAGACTTGTCAAAAAACTAACCATTGATTCCATCGTGATGAAGGTACATTAGAGAAACTTGCTACCCAGTAGCCTTAGCACATTTGGTTTTTAATTCTTTTTTCATTACAATCACACAAAAAACTTCTAAAAAACATTGTTGGTTAATGTAGATGATGAAAAAATGTGGAGAATGCCTTTATACATTAGTGTTTCATTTTAGAAATAAAATACAAAACCTCTCTTTGTAAAGATTGTCCTCAAAAGTTTGTGCCATTGGATAATTAATTTATATTTATTCCGTTGTTATTTTAAACTTTGGCTTTATAGGAGCACCCTGACAGCATGAGAAAATTCAAATTCTGTATCTTTTTTCATTGAATTAATTGGGATGACATGAGTTAATACAATTATTTGGGTTTCTGGGGTACGACTCTATAATCCAGAATCGGTATGTTGTTTTATGTGTTCACCACAAGTAAATTCCCTTCCATCACCATTTATCATCCCTTTACCCTCTCCTACCTTCCCCTACTTCTCCTCCCTCTGGTAATCACCACACTGTTGTCTGTGAGGTTATGGGGGTTTATATGCTTAATGCCTTCACCTTTTTCACCCAGATCCCCTTGCTTATTTGTCCATGCTCTGAAAGTGTGCCATTTACAAACTTTCCTCACTGCAGAGTGTGAATGCTGTGACACTGTGTTTACTGCCTCATCACCACATGCTGTCTAGGTTCGTATAACAAGACCACGCACCCTGCTCAGATCTTCCGGTCACTCTCATCTCTCCGGCCTAACTTTGATATCTCTTTCTTATACCAAGTTGGATATAGCAAAGAGAATTTATATTCAGGACTCTAGGGAGTTTTGCAATAATTTGAAGGTGTGATTACCACGAGGGGTAAAAACTTTAAGAAATTTATTTGGAGAAACAGAAACTTCTAACAGAATATGGTGGTAAGAACATGACTTTGGTATCACATATGGGTTTCAGATCTGTTTCTGCCACTTAACAAAAATGTGTAACAATAGACAACGTACTTCACATCTTTAAAGTTCAGTTTTCTAATCTGTGAAAGGAGCTTTTATTTTTTTTTTGTTTTTTTTTATTTATTCATTCATCAAAAGTACGCTAGGAGCCCAGCACTGTTCTAGGTGTTGAGGATACAGAAGACACCAAACCAGTCACATATTCTTTTCTCGTGGAATTACAACTAATGGGAGGAGAGAGAAAAATAAAACAAAATAAAAATAAAACTAAATCTCTGACAAATAAGTATGATAATATCAGATGACAGGACCATAAAACGAATAAACAGATAATAAAATCAAAACAAATTTGGGCAAGAGCCAAATTCCAATTTGAAGATCAGGAATGGCTTCTTTGAGAGATGCCAATTTTGCTCAGATATGAGTAATAAGAAGGACCTACTATGTGATGACTGAGGGGTGGGGGAGGGGAGAGATTATTTCAGACAGAGAAAATAACTAGTGCAAAGCCTTAAGGCAGAAAGAGTTTGAAGTGTCTTAAGTGTAGAAAGGCCAGTGGAGCCAAGATACAAATTCCGAGGTGAGGAGGGGAAGTGTGTTGGCCATGTAGGTCATAGAAAGGAGTTTGAGTTCTTCCTAAGCATAAGAAGACACTGGGATATTTCAAGGCAGAGTGTAATACTTAATTTCCCTTTTCAAAAAACTAAAAATCATTCTGGGTTCCAAATGGACAGTGGATAGTGGCGGGTAAGAGTGTCAGCAGAAGAGCCAAGAAGGAGGCTGTTTGAGTGGTCGAGGAGAGAGATGGTGGCGGTCAGAACCAAGTGATAACAGACGAGGTGGGAATTTTTCTGCAGTCAGCATTGACAGCTTGCTGCTTATTTGGATGTTGGCGAGGAATGAAATAAAACTGAATACTAGATTTTTGTTTGAGAAACTGGGGTTTGATTGTGAAAGACTCATCGAGAGGCACATTTGGGGGTACGTTACAAATGGCCCATCTTGATTTGATTACATTTGAGAGGCCTTTTCGACATTCAATCGAGATCGGCAATTGCACACATTAAGTTTAGAGGTTACGAGAAAGATTAGACCTTGAGGTAGAATTGCGAATACTTAAAGCTATGGGTCCAGGTGTAAGATTTAGGGAAGATTCATGGAGGAGAGAAGGGTGCTTGGGATCAGGTCCTGTCATTCCAACATGTAAAAAGTGAGCAGAGAACGTGGAGCCAGCAAAGCGTAGTAATGAGAAAGAGCCACCAGAGAGGTAGGAGGCAGAAACAGATGTTAAAAGATCATGGAATTAAGAAAAGAATGAGATTTAAGAAGGAATTAGGAGGTATATTCTGTGAAATTCTTCGAAAATGTTAAATTTAAAAAGGATAAAAACGTGACATTAGATTTGACCAAGTGGAAATAATTGATAACTTTTAAAAGAACAGTTTTATAAGACTGGTTCAAAAAGAAACCCAAGAGAAGGATGATGAGAGAGAGGGTAATAAAAGTTGTTACCTACCTCACAGGACCATGGGGTGCATCAGATGCACCCATGAATATAAAGTGCTCAGCATAGTGCCTGGCGTGTCAGAAACACTCATCAAAATTAGTTGTTGTCTTCACATTATTATCATCAGCATTATAATTCCAGACTCAACACAGCTTGCACAATGGAAGCTGCGTATGGTGATGGTCAATTGCATGTCATTACTTTTCACAGCTCCAAGCCAGCCGCCAAGGATCATCAGTTCCATAAGGTCTGGTTCACGCTACATAATTACCTGGGATCATGTGGTCGCACTATCAAATGAATCTACAGTGACAGGATATAAGGTAGATAAAAGACTACTAGAGTATTCCCTGCACAAGCTTCATTATTACAAAGAGTAATTGATGTTTGGACTTTTTGCTATTTCAGCAAAACCCATTCAGTTTTCTTATTCTATCTGTATCATGGAATCAGATGACAGTGCCATGCTAAATTTTTAAATGAGAAAGACCTTTAATTTAGTGAAGTCTAAGAAAATACTATATCAACTGAGAAAGATAAAATAACTGCTTTAAAGTCTAAAGTTGTTTGAATAATCAGTTCCTGAAGAACAGAGACAGAAAGAATCCATTTTTGTTTGACAGTGATTAAGATAAATTTGCCCAGCACAAGTGAACTCTTTGATGTATTGAGTTGCCTTCTGTAAATGAACAAAAAAGGAAAAAAATATTATTTCCTTTTATTCTTTCACATTTTTCATTGTATGCTAGATGTTAGAAATAATGTGAAAACAATAAATTGTGAGGGAATTTTCAATATATTGAAAAAAGCCTCCATTTAAACTATTTATTTTAAAAAGCACATTTTTTCCCTCTCTTTATTTTAGGTAATCTCAAAAACCCCAAAATATAGGTGAAATTGATTTCTGTGAATGAAGTATAACATTCATTTTCCAGCAATTATTACACACAGCTACCCTAGGACTAATTTTATTAATAAAAATGTAAGAAACTTCTGGTTTTCATGTTAGGGCATTGACTCATTATTACAGTTTTATTGAGTATACCTATTTTGGGACTTTCCAAGGTACTGTATAGACCCGACGGCCAGCATGATGGCAAACTGTATTCAACTCACAAGCACTCCATAGAAGTCCCCATCCCCAGAAACGGGGAGTATGTCGTAGAGGTGCGAGCACACAGCGAAGGAGGAGACGGAGTGGTGTCTCAAGTCAAAATTTCAGGTAAGCCAGTCATTTAAGACCCATTTCCGTTGGGTACTTGTAAGTTTCTGGGCCGTATGGATTCCCAAGAGTAAGTGTAACACTGATATTCATACCAATATCAGTAATTTGAAATATCAAGGATGCTCTGAAGCTTGACATTTCTTCCCTTATGAGTCACAAAAGTAAATTTGGAACATACCACATACTTGTTGATTATCTGGATGTCAAAGCATAATTAAAATACCATAATACACTAAAATAAGACAATAGTAGACCATTGTATAATAATATCCAGAATTCTCTTATATCAAAAAGAAATTCATTGGACTACTTTTAATATTCTTCTAACTCCCTTTGCTTGTGCTACACATGTTAATATAGCAATAAAATAAAAAGACAGTAAATGATAATTCCCCTATCATCTCCCTCTCTCTTCTCAGCATATCTATTCTTTCTCTGCAAACTCTAGTTCTCATAGCACTGGTTAATTCAAAATAAATATTTTGTTTGTGCTCAGATGTCACCTACTCAGGAACGAATTATATGGCCTTCATTGTAAGATCACCCCCTACTCTCATTTTTTGTCATATCGCATCACTGTTTTATTTTCTTCATAATATTTATAACTATTTAAAATTCTTTTATCCATTCATTTATACTTATACTGTTGACCATGCTGAAGGTAAGACATCGTTACTTGAATGTAAGCTTTGTGGGAGCAAGCTCCTTATTGCTTTGCTCAGCCCTTGAATCCCCAGAACCTAGGGTACGTATCTGGGCACAGAACTAAATTTTAACAAATAATTTAAAAAAAAATTTTTTTTAATTCTCACATGGATATCTTTCCATTGTTTTTGTTTGTTTGTTTGTTGTTTTGTTTTTTAACATAAAGTAGAAGGGAGGGAGGAAGACAGAGAGAGAGAAACATCAATGTGAGAGCGACCCATCAATTGGTTGCCTCCCACATGACCACAACTCAGGACTGGGATCAAATCCAAAACTGAGGTACATGCCCTTGACCGGAAATCAAACACCTATTCTTTGGTCTGTGGGTTGACACTCTAACTGCTGAGCCACACCGGGCTGGGATTAACAAATAATTTTTAATACATTTTTTACTTTTTATAGAGTAAAATTTAGTTAGAAAATAATTTGGGCAACTTAAACTATAGTTTAGATACCTAGAATATGGATACATTTCTCATTATGGTCATGATTTGTATTATGCCACAGGCTAATTCACAAGGTGGATTCTTACAAAGATTAAGACAATATTAGAAATATTATAAAAAGTTTATTAGACATGTAATCTGTAACTCCATCTCTCTCTGACCAAATATTGGTACCCACTGTCTTAATAAATTATTCCCTCTCAGATGTTTATAGTTCACATTGAGGTAAATGTAACACTGCAGATGTTCCGTCACAAGCATACTATCTCTAATAGGTTCTATATTTTCTGTTAAGAAACTTTTGTTTTTATACATCATTGTGAGCTAAATTTAGAATAATGTGAAGGTTGCCACCATAATTTGAATATAAATTTTAATAATCTAATTTGAATTATTACATATTCACTATAAATATTAGAATAAAGATTGACAAGAATCGTTGGTCAGTAATTATCCACAGAGAAGCATGTATTTCATTATTTATGTGTGAATGTGCATATTTTGAGCTTTTATATTTCTTTTTAGTTTTAAATAGAATATAGATATTTAGTCAAATTAAGGGAGACTTTTAAGGACATTTTATAGTTTGGACTTCTTCCTGAGAACAAGAAGTAGTCATTAGAAATCTTCAAGGTACAAATAACATGATCAGATATTTGTACTTGAAAATCACTTTGGTGATTGTACAAAATATGTATGTAGGAGAGTGAGATGTAAGGGGATGAATTACAAGGTTATTATCATAGATGATTAAAGATGATGATGGTCTGGCCTGGACAAGGTCAGTGGTGAAGTGTAGGGTAGGTTCTACAAGAACAAGGCATCTTTTCCATTTGATTTAAAGTCCCTATATATTCATTTTGTTGACTTGTGTCTTCTAATAAATCTGTAATTTATCCTGATGTTACCGCAGATGATGCAATCTAAACATTTAACCTACTATTTTTGGTAACTCCAAGCTATTAAGTTAAACTATATAACCAAAGCCACTGACTTAAATACTGATGAAAAACACATTTTGTTTTTTTCATTTTGTCTTCTTCAGCCTTGTAGCAGAAGCAGAAAGGCTAGGAAACCATTTTTAGGTAGAACCTTCAGATGTTTAACTCCATTACTCTCCCATGCTCCCCTATCCACTGCCTGAGTTGTACAGTATAAAAGGAACGAGAGGCTAGTTGAGATGTTTAGATTTCGTCCCTATGTTATTAGATTAAAATGCAATATTAATATCATCGGTTTTGCAAATATTTTCTCTGTAAGCATTTTCAAAAACCAAAATTGTTTGGAGCTTCTAATATTGTATAACAGAGAGAGAAAGAGAAAGAAATATATGTGGTAGTCTTAGGTTTACTTTATTCTGCCCTGTTTAATAATCAGATGCTATATAATTCAGTAATCCCTATATCTGAACTTTGTAAATATTCTTTATCATTTATGAAGAAATAGATGGCCATAAATAAATTATCTACCATCCTAAATATTTGAAATGGTATATCAAATGATAGTTGAATGCCATCCTTATAAGTCCATCATCAATATTTAAGAATTTTATCTTTGTGAGTGTGAAACAACCAAGTGTTGTCACTAAGGAAATACTGTCTCTCCAGCTATTTTGCAATAAGCAAATATTTTGCTTTCTTTTACTAATTTTGTGTGGGATCAATTCTAGAGTTCAAGTAGATTAATCCAACCTATGTATTTCTAGACTGACAAATAGCTCACATTTAAAATTCCTACTAGCATTCATACTGCTCTTTCATTAATACTGAATCAAGACTATCTACTCAAAACCTTTTTCAACTGAATGGCAGTACTTAATACTCTTAGTTTTGTAATAAACACAAGTGTGGAGGAGAAATACCCGAACAAAGTGATATTCTGTACATCTGCAAATTTGACTTTGCGTGGTGACTCTGTGCCCTAATCACTATTAATGTAACTCTCTGAATGACTCAGACTTGTTGCAGGACTTGAGCATACAGGGAATTCCCAGAGTCTTACTGATTTTTTAGTGGCTTTGACCACTGGCTCTAGAAGTAGATTTTACCACGTTGTCAGGCCGTAGATAGCATCTCTGCATCTAGACTAAGTTGGGTTTTTCTGAATCTTTCTCTGGGTTTCTTATATCTATTAGTAAATTCACACAGGAGTCCTAGCATGTTAGTCTGTATTCACTTACATAGACTCAGAAATACTTTGTTTGGAAAACTACTCAGTGGAATAAATTATAAGAATACAAAAGGATATTAAAGATAATCTTTCAAGATTCACTTAATTATGGCTTATGAAATAGTCTCTGCAACTATACTTTAGTATTATAATGTACGAATACTTCCTTTTCTGTGATAAATAAAACTTATTCTTAAAAATTTACATATTTTCGTAATACTTTCACTCTTCAGAAAGTTGATTCATTCAGTAAACATCTGCTGACCACCAACAAGATGACAGGCATCCTGCTGGGTTATTACTTACAACGATTGGCCAGCCCCCCTTGAAGCTTGTGTTCTAGTGGATATCAGGAAAATAATGAACTAGTACCAAATAATAAAATTTACTTATATATAGGTTTATTAAGGCTTGTAAGAAATAAAAAATTGTGGCTAATATAAAGAATAAAACAGAACTGATTTCCAAAGGGTGATCAGGTCAAGCTTCTCTACTTAGGTGATGTTTAGCCTGAAATCTAAAGGAAAGAAACTAACCAAACCACGGAAGTGGGGAGGAGTCCCAGGGCCAGGGACTGGCGGGAAAGAGCTCGCAGTGTTACTGGAGGAGAAAGGAGGCCAGTGCTGCCAGCAGTGGTGGGATGAGATGCAGAGAAGAAAAGAGCGATGGGCCTGGATCCATCTCAGACTCATGTCCTCTGCTCTTATTCTAATGCCTCCCTCACCTCACCCTCTCAGGGTTTGCACTTTATTCTGTGTCCAGTGGAAAAACATCGATGTGCTTTTAGGAGGTGATGAGTGATGCAATCTGATTTAAGGTCATTTTTGCTGTAGTGGAGAAAATACATTAGGTAGAAAAAAAGGGGAGTCGGTGGAGCTGGGGAGAGGTGAGCAAGTCTCAGACCCAATCAGGACGAGCAGATTCTCTTTCAGAGTGAATGGGACTTTGAATATAGACCTTTCTTTCAGAATTTCCATTTTTTCCTTAGGAAAGATTCCTAGAAGTGGAATTACTGGACTAAAGGGAAGGGCCTTCCTTTTTTTAAAATTTTTTTTTATCCTCACCCGAGGACACTTCTCCATCTTTTGTTCAGACAGAGTGGGAGGTAGAGAGAGAGAGAGAAACATCGATGTGAAAGTGACAGATTGAGTGATTGCCACCCGCACAACCAAACCAGGGCCAGGGACAACTGCAACCAAGGTACATGTCCCTAGCGGGAACCGGACCCGGGTCTCTCTGGACTGCAGGCCGACACTCTAACCGCTGAGCCAAACCGGCCAGGGCTGGGAAGGACCTTTCAAAGACTTGGAAGATACTTGATAGTTGACAAATAACTATCCAAACAGCAATGTCCACATTTTATCATTAAACCAATTTTTAAGTAGCAGTTTGTTATTCATAAAATTTTTGTTAATTAAGCAAAGATACTGTCTCATAACTCTTATTTTTAATTACTATTCAGATGAAAGTATTAATATTTTAATAGCTACTTATAGTTCCAATTCTATTTAGTTCTGTTTATGTTTTTTCTGTTTAATATTAATAATGTTCTTCAAATTTTTATGATCAATTTATAAAATCAGATTAAAACTTGCATGCCACATTTGTAGCAAATATTTTTTTAAGTTTGTGTTTAAATGTTATTGAGGATAAGTCAGTATGGTTTATGCTTATTTA